ACTTGTACACATTCATGCCAATGTTATTGCTGTCTAGCAGTCATGCAGACGAATCTGACGTGCGTTTCAGTGGCTCTAAAATAGTTCTAATTTATTCAGGCGCACGTTCAAAAGCGTATTCCTATTTTTGAGTTTGCTGTGCCATTTTGTTATTACCATTTTTGACGTAAATGTGTAGCCTAAAGTCGGATGAACGCTGCGGAGGAGTTGTTTTTATTCGAGCAATCATTGCTGGAGCTTAGGGCGTGCTAATAACATAAATCAGCTTTTCTAAAAAAAAAAACACCGACTTTTTGATATTCATTTCTTTCAGTTAATAATTTGGCCGCTAAACGATCATCTTCATTTACCATGAAACTGTCAAAAAAAAAACCAGAGAATGTGGGCCCTCTTTAGATTGATAGAGGCGATGGCAAAGGGCAATTTTAAGTTTTTGTCTTCTGGTCTTCCGATCGCACGCCTTTCTTTCCAGAGAGCACTGTTTTTGAGTAAAACCAAATACGGGCGGTGCTGAGGAGCTAATCACTGAGTAGGCGGAGCGACTTAGAAGAGGAGGCCTGACCTAAACGTCCGTAGCGATTTTCTCGCTTACCACAGCGAATTATTTGCCTGGATTTGGGAACTAGTTCAATCTGAATTCATTATTGCGCGAGAACTTAAAATCTTCAGTTTTGCCCGAAACTGCCTTTAAGGCGTGGATCATATCATTTCAACTCTTTGTTTCCTTTCAATTTCTTCCGTTCCTCGAGCAAACTCTTAAGCTGCAACATCTGTTTTGACTTCTCCATACACAAGACTTTTTAGAAAAGTTTTGAATACGAGTTTTTTCCTACGGTGTTAGAGTCGAACGCTAAGCAGCTGATTCTCGATCGACACTGCCAGGGCATCAATCGGCCGTGTCACAACTTCGCCCGCAGTGCGTTTCCTTATCTTCGCACAGGGGGCTTCAGGGAAACCGATTTTGCTTTATCCTGTTTTTTCTCAGAAATAGAGTCAATCTTTCCCTAATGTCGCTCACATGTGGATTTTTATAGCATCTCATTAACATGGTCCATCGCGATCACCTAGCTTACGACAAAGCTTTAAAGTCTGCTGACATCGCTCTGGAAAATAAGGTAACCACAATTTCTATTCTTAGTTCTTTTTTATCCGAATTTACTTGAATGTCCTGCTAAGTTCGCTTGCTCGACATTGCTCATCTCGTGTGACTTAAACTATCCTTTTTTAGATGGTTAAAACGAGGAGCAAGGCAATCTCACAATCCCTTGTGTATAGTGAGATTCTAAAGCAGCTGGCTCATCCGTCTTCTATGGAGGCTTTTATCTCCGGAACTAACGGCGCTATCGTACGTTGCACTGCTTTCTACTTTTATGCATTGAATAATAAGATCCTCTGGATTGAGACTTTGCTTCAGCATGTATCTGAAGACGAACTTCATGCTGTCTTGCGCCTTCAGTGGGCATTTTCTCCCTCATATGATGGTTTTTCGTCAATTGAGGAGCTTGAGAAGAAAGCAGAGGAAGCTGCTGATGTTGTTACGGCTGTTCTGTCACAAACTAACGTTGTTGTTGATAAACAAACGGGTTTACAAGGTATACATCGTGTTTTCAACAGGCTTTATATTTGATGGTTATAAGCGCTGAATTACAGCGCTTTGGCAAGAAGCCCCATTATGTAGTGGAACATGCTAGTGGACAATATTGCTAAGCGTTTTTTTTTCAGCGAAATAACTTTCTAGTTCTTTTCACATGATCTGCTTTAGCATATTTAATGTAGTTGGCGTACTTTTTTGTGTAGCCATTTTCTTATTGGGTTTTATTTAAATTGGGAGTTGCAGTTTTTTACAGGGCCATATTTTGTAGTCTGTTACAATTTAATATTTTGATACAAATACTACACATATATGTATTCATCAGTCTTTTTATCTTTTTAAATTTATCTATCCAAAACTTTGAATGTCTACATTTATTTGTTTATTTATTTATAAGGTTGCTGGATAGTTCGTGCCATTTTTCAAACCCAAAAATTTCTTGGCCAGAAGTAAGAAGGAGTCTTCCTCTACACTTATCTGGCTTAGCTGATTTCAATTTCTATCTTGAAATCTCTTAAAAAGTTCAGCTGACAGCTTGCTTTCTTCGAAATGCGAGAACTCCCAAAGCCTTAACGCTACCCAGGGAGGGATATGACAATTACGAAATTCTCGTCCATTCCTTCAGGACCTGGCTGTAGGTATGCGCTGCAGAGGTCAAAATTACTGATTTGCCTAAAATGATTCATTGAGTTTGATTGACAGGCTGGTCGCAAAGATTATATCTCTTTCAGTGGAAAAAGTCAGTACTTCCAATTTAGCGAAACTGGAATCATTAGCTAAGCCGGGTAAACCTTAGGACTTCCTCTCTCAAATATGCAGTAGCTAAATCAATATAGACTGATCATCATTGCTCAAAATCTCAACCACTTTTTTCAGAATCTGTCGATTTCATTACGCCTGAATCGCAAATCCTGCTCTAAGGGAGGCCCTTTCTCAAATTGAGAGACGCTCCGTTTTTGAATGACATTTTAAATATGGCGGAAATTGGTCAGAAAAGATGAGGGGTTTTGTGGACCACGACCTAGGAAGTGTAGGGTCTTTTGAACCATTTTGAAGCAGTCCCTTTCAAGCTGATGGTATATATGAAATTTCTTGAAGACCAGTAATCGGATTAAGTGAGTTTTCGTCTGTACTACAGCACATATCCTCTCCGTAAACAAAACTGATATGGTCCATTTGCAATTGGCTTGACCAAGATGGAAGGCAAGCACAGAAATGTCGGAAATACTTTCACCTTTTGACCTGACATTTCACTTTCTGGCTCAAAAGTGGTAAAGATAAAAGTTTTGAAGACGATAAGCATAGCTTTATAGAGCAAAGGAGGGTACTCAAACTGCATACAACGTTTTGTCAAAAATTTGAGAAACCGCATAAAATTAAATGTCAAAGAAAATCACGGAAAATTATATAACAATCTAGTATATACTATCACGGAAAATTATATAACAATCTAGTATATACTATGCGCGGCCAAATTTTTTGTATACTCATGGAAGGGCAGTTTAATTGGTTTTAACATGCTATGAAACGAGAACCAAACATCAATGTGAAATATTTAATAGTATGGATCTTGCTCTCTACCTCAATCCCCCACTGCAGTAGCTCTGATAATCCTTGCTCTGGCTGCGACTTCCCAAGTCTGTGTTCTTGAAGTTTTATCTGGTATGGTATAATTTATAGAAAAGCAGTGTCTAGGCTACGTCGGACACAGCAACCTGAAAACTTTTGACGAAAAGTTTCTCCTAACAATGGCTGAACGGCGTCCTGGAGGAGCACCTGCTTGGTTAACGGCATTTAGTGGCATAGGCGTAATGGCAGTAATTTGAAAAAGTGATTCTGAGCAATGACGAACACTGTTTTCTAAACGATTCACTACTGAAATTTCAAATCGAATTGCTTTCCAATAATTTTCCATAGGCGGTAAAAAAAACTTGATAAGCATGCGTT